TCAATGCTTGTATTCATCGCTTGTATTCTGCATTCCATATTAATTCACTTCGTGCTATTTCGTTGAATCATGTGCGATGTTGGGTTTGCTTAAGGCCAGGTTTATGTTCACCTCCAGCAATGATGAGAACGAAGATTACGCTTCTTTTTTGATCAAACACGGTGACAACGTTAAGGATGTAGCGTTCAAAGTCAATGATCTCAACTCAACTCTCCAAGTATGTGATATGCGCTTGTTTCTTTGAAATCAAATCTTCTTCTCAGTTCAACGATCCATAGCTTGTTTCTTTCTCAGTTCATTTCATTGAAGTTAGCTGAAAGATTTGTCAACAATCAACAAATTATCTTATTCAAATGTGAACAGGTAAATGATCGAGCTATTTTTTGGTGTAGTGTTGCTTACTGACAATCAAGCGAGAATATTTTCAGTGTATACTGAAGAATGGAGGATATTTATTGAGTGATGCTAAAACTTTAAGCGACAAATTCGGTTCCGTTGAGATAGCGACTGTTGCAACAGCAGTAAGTTATTATTCACATAAGATTCTTCAGCTTCATTGATATTTCGAATTAGAGCCAGGAACTTATTCAAAACAATTTTTGGTCAGATTTTAAAGCTAGGTAAGCATCAGTCAATTTTGGGTAGTTGATCAGAGGAATTAGACCTGTCAAAAAAGGCATCAGTTATCTATCCTTTACAAACTATTGAATTGAATTGGAAACCATCAATCGCCCATCTGAAGTTTTTTAATCGAATAAAAGTTGACTCAACTTTCAGCAAAGTGATATGCGTCATACACTGATTGAAGCGCACAACTACAAGGGCATATTCCTACCTGGATTTAGCGCGTACAAAAATAATTTTTTAGCCGAGAAACTGTAAAGTTTGCATTCGGTTATATCTCATTTACAAATATTCGCTCATTTTGAACTGAATACAAATACATTTTAACTGAATCTACCGATTAAAGATACAAAATAATCATGAGACGTTGATGTTTTTCACTGTATATCCTGTAGTTTAGTTATGCTGCTCATTGAATGGTTGTTACTTCTGAGTTTCTTGAATCAAATTTGAATTGAAGAGGATGCGGAAAATGTCGAACATTCGTAAGAACGCGGTCAATTTAAGATTTTATTCAATTCGCTATTGCAATACCTTACTGACTGATCGCTAGTGAAAGTTTGCATGATGATGTATTAGCGATTGATTGAAATGAACAACACTCTATTACCAAACATCAATCAGTGAAGGAATTGAACATGTATGTGAAATAAAATGTTCAAAAATTTACTTTGCAGGGAAAGAATTCCAGTTGCCACACTAGATCATGTTGTTGAGAATTTCCCCGTTGGCGGTATGGACGATGTAACAAAATGGTATCATGATACACTTAATCTTCAACGATTTTGGTTGGTTTTTCGTTGGAGAATTTAGTAGATATATTCATGAGATATCGGAAAGCTTTCCAGTAAACCGCTGGATTATTGGAAAGAAAAATTACGGATGTTCGATCATTTTTTGAGAAGTTTCTGACCAACTTCAATGGGAAAGTTGTAAAATTACACAGCAAATGCGAAAACATCACTGCAGCAACAATTCATTTCTAATGGTGTAAATATCAAAGAACATCCACTTACTTTCAAACTATCGCTTTCATCAAATAACTTAAAAACCGGAAAGTTTCAGCACATTTTAAAACATATTTGTTCAAGTGATATTTCAGAGATTACAGAATTTCAGTTGATCTTAACAACAATTGATCTTAACCTAGTTTTCAGCGAAATGTCATTAAGACTTTTAGAAATAAACCATGGGAGAAATATGAAATATACCATTTATATGGTATGAACCATTTCATTCCAATTCATCCTCAAGTTTCCTTCTTTTCCCCGAGATCATCTCATGACTGAATTTTAAAAACCGTTCATTCTCGCACTAATTAGGTATTTCGAACTGAGGCTCAATTTCATAATAATATCCCTATCAGTAACATTGTTCTAGGTCAATCGATGAGAATGTTTGTCATTCAGAGTATTCAGCGATGAAATCAATTCTATTAACAAATCCATCGCATTCCATACAAGTGGCTATAGCTGAGCCAGTACCGAATACAAAACGAGGTAGATCTCAAATACAGGTGAACGATCAACTCAATTAGCATCGCTTCGTTTCGAAGTCCATTTAATGCAACAA